CTTTTATAGCCTGCACAGATTGCATTCGCAAAAAAAAAAAAAAACCAAAGCAATGGCCTCGCCACTAATGAATCAACGTCACAGCGATCGCATAATTTTGTCCCCCCCCCCCCCCCCCCCCCCCCCCCAAAAAAAAAAAAAAAAATTACATTTACTAAATTTTGGCTGCGTCAGCATCTGGTCCAGGTAAATTTAAAATTAAAATTGCCATCTTGAAGGAAATTCACAAACAACATTGTCGCTGAACGGGCGAACAAGCGCTTCCGCGACACCCCTACCATGTATTACGACTGCAGTGTTGAGCTGACTGTACTTGTGACCCACTCTGTCATGTTTTAAAATCAATACAATGTAACCGATTTCCCCAAGCCCACATCGACACCGAGAAGAATTTAGGCTAATCTCAGACCTCGACATAAAATGTCCGATACAGACTTAGAAAACTGCACTGAAAAACACACATTCATCTTTCCTTAATAACTGCTCCAAAACATTTTTACATTGCTGGTGTGGTTTTTCGGTTAGCGGGGTAGGGGTATCCCCTATCAAAGGAGAAGTAAGACGCCTCCTTTCCTCCGCTAGTCTACGGGACACCCTTGGGCAAGGTGGAGTACCCGTTTAGCCCCCCAATCAAGGTTACGTGAAGCCATGGAAGCAGGTGGTGGATGGAGTGTAAGAGCAGCCGACAGGTATTGTTGGTTATGGTCTGCACTCTGCGGCGATAGGCAGATGATCTCATCAGTAGAGACAATGGCTATGGCCACCGACTAGTATAGTCACTGCTCAGGAGGAAAGCAACGGCAAACTACCTACTGCAAATTTTGCCAAGAATCCATAACAATCATGAAAGAAAACATAACACAGAAGAGATCTGGTGGCGAGACCCCCAGGCCAGGCAGATCAGATAACACTGGGGAAGAGTGTGATACAGGGGTCAGTACTAGTAATCGTGATGACGGAGTTAATCCTGACTGTGTTACCAAGGAAATCCACTGTGTCAGACTAAGAAACAGAATGCGAATAGGAACGTGGAATGTGAGAAGTCTGTATGAAGGAAAGCTTAAAGTAGTATGTGATGAGATTGAAAGATTAAATATTCAGATCTTAGGAATTTGTGAACATCGTTGGAGTGGTAAGGGACATTTTATCAATGAATATGGAAGCTTTTTCGTATATTCTGGTAGAGATGTAAGAGGCCAGAGCGGAGTGGCATTTTGTTTAGATAAAACAACAGCAAAAGCTATTATGGGATATAATCCAGTTAGTGATAGAATCCTAACTATCAGACTTAAAGGCCGTCCAAAAAACATAACTTTCATGCAGGTGTATGCACCAACTTCAACAGCAGAGGAGGGCGAAATTGAAGATTTTTATGCCATACTGCAAGACACATTAAATAAAATTAATCAGAATGATATAATAATAATAATGGGAGATTTTAATGCTAAAGTAGGTACAGGCAGAGCTGAAAATGAGAGACACGTTTTATGAAAATTTGGATTGGGTAATAGAAATGAAACAGGAGAAAAATTGATTGAATTTTGCATAGAAAATGAATTAACAATAGCTAACACACTTTATAAACAACACCCTAGAAGGCTTTTCACATGGACATCCCCTGACGGTGTTACCAAAAATTAGATAGATTACATTTTAATACAAAGAAGATGGAGATCGAGCATAACATCTGCAAAAACCCTGCGAAGTGCAGATTGCGATACAGATCATCAGTTACTAGAAGCAGATCTGAAATTAAAACTCAAAAAGCTTACCCGAGGACCAAGGCCATTCCGATTTGATCTCACAAAAATACCAGATGCATACAACGTAGAAGTGAAGAACCGTTTTGAGGTCTTGATGTCTGTACAAGAGGAAATGACACCTGATGAACTGGCGGTACAAGCTAGGGATATCTTGATAACAGCAGCTAAAGACTTAATACCCACCAGGACTAAGCAACATAAACCATGGATCACACCATACACGTTAGAACTAATAAAACAACGAAGGGAACTGAAAAAGAAAGGAGAAACCAATGACAGTAGGATGAAGTATACATTTTTAACACGAGAAATAAGAAAGTACACAAGAAAGGATAAAAATCAGTATGTACAAGATTGCTGTATTAAAATAGAGCAGCATCATAAAAATGGAAGAGATTACGAAATGTTCAAGGAAATGAAGTTATTGACAAGAAATTTTCAACCTCAGTTAAATGTTATTTGTGACAGGTTGGGAAATACTTTAACAGAATCTACACAAATTCTAGGAAGATGGCAGGAATACTGCAGCGGAATGTATGATATGAATGACAGTGAGGATATGAATGATATACATGAACCAGTAACAGTAGAGGCAGAACCTGAACCTTCATTAGATGAAATTTCATGGGCAATAAGGAGCCTGAAAAATGGTAAATCACCTGGATGTGATGAGATACCAGCTGAATTGATTAAAGCGGGAGGAGAAGAAAGCATAAAAATCTATCATGCATTATGTGAAAAGATATGGAAATATGGTATTTGGTCAAAAGACTGGAAGAGAACTATCTTCATTCCAATACCAAAAAAAGGGTGACCTGAAATTATGTACAAACTATCGAACTATTGCCCTGATCAGTCATGCAAGTAAAATTCTACTAAAAATTATAATGAGAAGACTGCATAAGAAAATGGAAGAAGAGATTAATGTAGCTCAGGCTGGATTTAGACAGGGAAGAGGAACAAGAGATCATATATTCAACATGCGTTTAATAATAGAGAAGTGTAGAGAATTTAATGTAAATCTGTTCTTATGTTTTGTGGATTATTCAAAAGCATTTGACTGTGTACAACATCAGAAGCTTTGGGAAATCATGAGGAATATGGGCTTTCCATCACATATAGTGCAGCTCATTAAAATGCTCTATCAAGACCAACAAGCAGCAGTCAGAATAGATGGAGAGACATCAGACTGGTTTGGCATCAAGCAAGGAGTCCGTCAGGGATGTGTGCTGTCACCGTATTTGTTCAACCTGTACGCCGAAAATATAATGAGAAATGTAAGAGATGATATAAACAAGGAACAATATGATGCCCTAAACATCGGTGGTCATGAAATACCAGAAATTCGTTATGCTGATGATACAGTATTACTATCAACATCACAAAATGGTTTAGAAAACTGATTAACCTCACTCCAAAGAAATAGTGAAAATCATAACTTATTTCTTAACATAGCAAAAACAAAGATAATGCATACAAACAAAACTGCCATGGAGAAGGAAATATATGTTGATGAGGAAAGATTGGAAGTGGTGGAAAATTTCGAATATCTTGGGTCACTGGTTACCAACAATGGTGACACAATGAAAGAAATTAAACGGCGACTATCAATTGCTCTTCAAAGACTAAAACAACTGAATAAATTATGGAATTGTACAGACAGAATTACAAAGGTCAAATTTTTAAGAGCATGCATCTTTCCCATTGCAACATACGCCTGTGAGACCTGGACACTTACTAAACAAGCGGAACAGCGCATAAATGCATTTGAATATAAATGTTACAGACAGGTTCTAAGAATATCTTGGGTAAAGAAAAGAACAAATGCATCCATACTTCAAGAGCTGAATATTGAAGAGGGTTGGCTAGTAAAGACAATAAAACAAAGAAAATTGAAATATTTTGGTCACTTGAAACGTCATTGAAGTCTAGAGAGAACAATAATGGAGGGGTATATGCCTGGGAAGAGAGGAAGAGGAAGGCCAAGGAGAAGATGGGTGCAGGATGTGGCAGATGATCTCCAGATGGGTGTATCAGACGCAGGACATCTTGCTCAGGATAGGAAGGTTTTCCGGAGGGTTGTTATGGCAGCGAGGTTCCGCGAGGGACATGCTACTGAATGAATGAATGAATGAATGAATGAATGGTGTGGTTTTAGAAAAGCGTACAAAAAACAAAAACAAAATTGGCTTCAAAAATAAAACAAGATGACAATTTGAACATATGAGTTGTAATGAATGCAAAATTGTATTTCAATGGAATTAAGAGTAAAGCGCAGCTTGAACGAAAACAAGTATGTTTCGATCTTTTAATAATCACTTATTTTGAATTGTATTTGTTCATTCATTGTCATGTTTGTGTCATTTTATACCACTTTAGACTTTAGGTTCGCTGTCTGTTTCTCCATTCCGTTATATTAATCATATTGCGAATACTGGAAAGATCTGTGGAAGATCATAGGAGGGTGTCAACACAGGAACTGATACATGCTATTGAAGATCGCAGATTGTGGAGAGACATGATGGCCCACGCCAGTACCTTACATGCACAAATGTCATTTCGGGACGCACTTTTCATTTGTGTGTGTGGACGTCACGTTACTTCCGACGCTATTTGTTTACATTGGTAACCTGTATAACACACACTGTTTACGTCGCCATGGTCAGACTTGGACATTAACAAAAGAACACGAGAGAAGACTAACCACCTGTGAAATGAGATGTTTGAGAATGGCTGCGAATAAAACCAGAAGAGATCGAGTGAGAAACGATGTGATTACAAGAACTATTGGAACCATACCCATCGTTAAATTTATTGAGAAGCAAAGAATGAAATGGTTTGGTCACCTAATGAGAATGGAACCAATGATGCCAGCATCAAGAGCATACAACATGAAAATCGAAACAACAAGAGGCAGGGGAAGACCAAGAAGAAGATGGATTGAAGGAGTCACGGACAACTTGAGACTTCATAACATCACGGCATATGAAGCGACTGAGCGCGCCCTGGCTCGGTTGCCGATCATCTGATAGACTGCGACGCCTAGCGGCACAAGCAGATTTTGACAAAAGAAGAAGAAGGTAACCTGTATGAGATAAATACAAACAGAGTGCACTGCCCCTGATTTCCTGGAAAGATTTGGTTTCACATTCTCCGTGACCCACTTTACAACACGGCACCTGTATCTAAATCACATTGAAACTGCGCAACTGTATTCGGAATACTATAAGCGGTGTCATGGCGAACAAGGAAGAAAAACAGCGAGATGATGAGGTAAATCAGCGTTGCTCTTTATTGATTCAATTGATGTGCGAAAGATAAGTATTTAATAGGACAGACGTGCCGAGACTGTGACCCTTGAAAAATAATAATGTACGTCCATTCCTTTCCTAGCTTAAAGAACTGTTTAAAGTAGGTAATGATGCCTTTCTGTTTGTTAACTTACCTCAGATGAACGGTAGAATGTGCTAAGAAGGTACTCAAATTAGTGATAGTAGCTAATGCTAGGGTCTTTTGCTGTTCTGGGGAAACTAAAGTACCATTCTGTTTTGAATGAAAGCAACTACTCCAGCAGACGACAGCCATTCTCTGGATATCGCTTCGTGATTATATTTCCATGGCGTGGAGAAAACATATCAACAAGGCAGCAACCAAAGCCAGGAGGAAGATAGCAATACTAAGAAAACTAGGCTCTCCTTGCAGTACCGGACGAGGGCTGGACGGCTTAGTTCAGTTTAGTGGGAGTTCTCTCCCTTGGCCGCACTGGAAACAGTGAGCGGAAAAGTCACGAATCAAAGAAGACAGTGGAGTCGATATCAGGGCTGCTAATGCTTGGTTTTGTCCCCTAGATCTGGGGTTGTTTTTTTTTTGACGTTGAGGGGAAATCTGGGGGGGGGGGGGGTTTTGCCGATCTGTATGCTTTAATGACCGATAAATTCGCGTGGTTAGGGGTAGGGTTAGGGTTAGCGGTAGGGTTAGGGGTAACGTTAGGGTTACGGTTAGGGTTAGGGGTAGGGGTAGAGTTAGTGTTAGGTGTAGGGTTAGGGTTTGGGGTTAGGTTTAGCGTTGGATGTGACAGTTTTGGCGCAGGAGTTCGCTATAATCGCGCACAGTCACATACACACCCAAACAGTCGACGGACTGTGGATGCTACAAACAATTCGCCACCATTTGGGCACCAGCCGCGCGCTATTGCCGTCATATTTAACAGACTGTCAGTGGAGTCACTCCAACAAGCATCAGATTGTCGGCCAGTATTTGGAACTCCTACGTCAAAATTTTCACATCTAACCCTAACTCTAACCCTACCACTAACTCTACCCCTAACCCCTAACCCCTAACCCTACCCCTAACCCTATCCCCTAACCCTAAACCAAGCCGAAACCATACGCAACCCTACACGCAACAGTATGATGACTATGCAACCCTTCACGCAACCGTATGATGACTACGCAACCCTACACGCAACCGTATGATGACAACGTAACCCTACACGCAAGCGTACGCAACCCTACATGCAACCGTATGATGATAGGTAAGCATGTCATTTGACTTTTCCGCTCACTGTTTCCAGTGCAGCCAAGGGAGAAAACTCCGACTAAACCAAACTACGCCGTCTAGCCCGCGTCCAGCCCTCGTCCGGTACTGCAAGGAGAGCCGAAAACTAAGTGGAACCACATGGGGAGCCGATGGGAAAATACTCAATAAAGTATACAAGCAGAGCATACTTCCACACTTGGAATATGGGTCAACTGCGTGGTGTTCAGCATCTTGTACCACATTAAAGGAGTTAGACAAAGTGCAAAATCAAGCGCTCAGAGTCATCACAGGAGGGATGAAATCAACCCCCATATTAGAAATGGAGAAAGCTGGGAAAACACAGGCACTGAGAGAACGCAGAGATACAAAGTTGCAAATACAAGCTGAAAAGTTCATCAGTATGCTAGACCACCCGATGGAAAATAGATTTTAGAACCTAGCCTTGGGACGGTTAAAAAGAAGCAGCTTTATACACCAAGCAAAAAGAATATGTAGACAAACTCCTGACCTTCCAGAAATTGGTTGCCCACTTAAAAGTATTCCGGAACAAACCCATGGAGAGAAAAATGTAAACTAACGGTACAAATCCAGACAAATGAGAAAGGGATATTTGACAAGAAAGAGCAAGATAGTGTACAACGCAGAATGACCACCCTCAGTTATATTGATGAAGAATACCCACAAGAACAATGGGTCAGAGTCTATACAGATGGGTCTGCAGAAAGTGCAGTTAGAAATGGTGGCGCTGGAGTGTACATCGAATTCACAGATGGTACTAGGGATAAGTCCAGCGTACCAACTGGGAAGTACTGCCATAACTACGATGCAGAAACCCAGGCTATCAAGATAGCTACAGAGAAACTGCTAAATACCAACCTTGGCTCACAGTATGTGGTAATGCTGACAGATGCTAAATCAGTACTTGAAGCACTCCAGTCTAGGAAACTACCAGAATTGCAAACACTGCTGACACAACTCAGCGTTCAGCGAAGAGTCGTAATGCAGTGGATACCGTCTCATTGTGGAGTGCCTGGAAATGAGAAAGCTGATGAACTGGCAGGGGAAGGTGCGACAAAAGAGCAGCCGGATGTACCAGTCACATACCACCAAAAGAAAAGAATCATTAAATCGATTAGGAAACCACCAGCCCCAGCACAAGACGACTACTTTATTGTGGACAGACCAGAACAAGTCATTATCCTCCGCCTCAGAACAGGGCACAACCGATTACGTAACCACATGTACACAAAATTCAAGATAGGTGTATCAGCCATGTGCACCTGTGGAAATGTGCCCCAGACAGCAAAGCATGGACTGCACCGATTTTGACACATTAAGGCAAACCGTTTGGCCAGAAAGAACAACAGTGGAACGTAAACTCTATGGACCACTGAATGAACTAACAACGACAGTGAAATTTATACAAGAGACAAAACTGCTGATATAGACAACTTATTTCAGGCGAACGAAAGAAGAAGAAAAAGAAGAAGCTTCGTGATTGACAGTGGAACACATTTGTTTAACGACGTCACAACTTTTCTTTTGTTTTGTTCAAATTTATTCTACGTATAAAGTGTAGTTAGACTTTACACACTCTATAAAGTCTGTCGTATTAATATCTATGTAATTTTTCACTTTTTTTTCCATCAGCATATGTGTTTCTTTTCTGATGTTTCACGGGTGCTGTATATATATTGTTTACAACATGTCTAGATGTTTTTTTTCCTCTCTCCACAGAACAGCCACTATGGCAGCGATAAAATTGAATACAAAAGAAAGAAGCTGTCCAAACAAGTACATGAAAAAAAGAAAGAGAAAAAACGAACACTGAAAATTTAGTATTTAATATGTTTTAGTAGGTAACATTTAATGTCTTGACTCTGGTAATATACATCACGCATGAACTAATGTTTGTATGTGGAATACACAGGTGGAGAGACTTTGTCTGTTGTTCACTGGGCGTATAAACAAGAATCTTGCTCAACAGATCATTGAGGAGAGTGGAGGACTGCAAGAGGCGGCTTGTTTCTTGATGCTAAGTGAGTTTTCTTCTACTTCTTCCTCTTCTTCTTCTTCGTCTTATTCTTCTTCTTCTTCTTTTTCTTCTTCTTCTTCTTCTTCTTCTTCTTCTTCTTCTTCTTCTTCTTCTTCTTCTTCTTCTTCTTCTTCTTCTTCTTCTTCTTCTTCTTCTTCTTCTTCTTCTTCTTCTTCTTCTTCTTCTTCTTCTACTGCTTTTTCTTCTTCTTCTTTTTCTTCTTCTTCTTCTTCTTCTTCTTCTTCTTCTTCTTCTTCTTCTTCATCTTCTTCATTTTTTTCATCTTTTTCTTCTTTTTCTCCTCCTCCTTCTCCTCCTCCTCCTTCTTCTTCTTATTTTTCTTCTTCTTCTGCTTCGTTTCCTCCTCCTTCTTCTCCTCCTCCTCCTTTGTCTTCTTCTTCTTCTTCTTCTTCTTCTTCTTCTTCTTCTTCTTCTTCTTCTTCTTCTTCTTCTTTTTCTTCTTCTTCTTCTTCTTCTTCTTCTTCTTCTTCTTCTTCTTCTTCTTCTTCTTCTTCTTCTTCTTCTTCTTCTTCTTCTTTTTCTTCTTCTTCTTCTTTTCCTCCTCCTTCTTCTCCTCCTCCTTGTTCTCCTTCTTCTTCTTCTTCTTCTTCTTCTTCTTCTTCTTCTTCTTCTTCTTCTTTTTCTTCTTTTTTTTCTTCTTCTTCTTCTTCTTCTTCTTCTTCTTCTTCTACTTCTTCTTCTTTTCTTCTTCTTCTTCTTCTTCTTCTTCTTCTTCTTCTTCTTCTTCTTCTTCTTCTTCTTCTTCTTCTTCTTCTTCTTCTTCTTCTTCTTCTTCTTCTTCTTCTTCTTCTTCTTCTTCTTCTTCTTCTTCTTCATCTTCTTCATCTTTTTCTTTTTTTTCTCCTCCTTCTTCTCCTCCTCCTCCTCCTTCTTCTTCTTCTTCTTCTTCTTCTTCTTCTTCTTCTTCTTCTTCTTCTTCTTCTTCTTCTTCTTCTTCTTCTTCTTCTTCTTCTTCTTCTTCTTCTTCTTCTTCTTTTCCTCCTCCTTCTTCTCCTCCTCCTTGTTCTCATTCTTCTTCTTCTTCTTCTTCTTCTTCTTCTTCTTCTTCTTCTTCTTCTTCTTCTTCTTCTTCTTCTTCTTCTTCTTCTTCTTCTTTTCCTTCTTTTCCTCCTCCTTCTTCTTCTCCTCCTCCTTCTTCTTCTTTCTGAGATGATATTGCCCCTGTATTCCAGCTGGACCTGCCTGGACTTCTATGGTGTTGTTACTTGAGTTAGAACACAATGATGTCAACCACACTCTTTGGAGTCGGTCAGATGTTTATTGCAGTTCCAACAACAATGCGGTCCAGTCGGTAGTCTTACTACCTAGCCATCATGAGACTGGCTGACACAAAGTGTGGCAGAAAACATCATTTACACAAGTATTTACCTTTTAGTCTAGGCTTCTTATCTTAACAAACATGCATGTAATCATCCGTAACGTAGACTTGGCGACCGCTCTTCTCTCTTCATGGATTCAACACTGCAGCCATCCACTTTTCTTCATGACACAGAGACATTATTTCCAGAGACATTTCTTCTGCTCAGAACATTTTGACCGCTTCCATTCCTGTCCAAAAATCAACTGCCCTTATCTCATTTGCTCTTCCAAACCCTTGTTCCCTTTGCAGGGAATTTGGGCTGTTAACTATTCACTTCCCACTGAGACTATCATTTATTTGGTGTAAACCGTTTTCTCACTGGTCTGTCACTCTGCTACCTCATAAGACCTTCACCGGGAATTTCCTCATTACACTTATTCTTTCTTTCATTCTTTCTTTCTTTCTTATTCAGTATGTGTGTGTATGTAAGTATGTATATGTGTGTAAGTGAGTGGTGTGTGAATGAGTGGGTGGGTGTACACGGGTGTGTGCGTGCATTTTTCCATCTATTCTTCTGGTTAGGGCCCCGTGACATTTTTTTATTTGAAAGAAGGTGCCACGACTAAGAAGAGCTTGGGAAACACTGCTTTAGATAGTAAATGTTCCTCAGTACTTACATATAATTAGAAAGATTATATAACTTTTCAAGAGTGCAGTGAATTAATAAGTAAGGTTCTTGCTGTCTCTTCGTTTATTTTACAGGTTCTTCAGAAATTGTCAGACAACGATTAAGAAAGGTAATTAGTTACTTGACCTATTTTTTACCCCTCTTCACATTTATGACATAAATTTATGACAGCAGCTATATTTAGTTTGTTAGTCTTTCTAACATTGATTTTCATTACAAATACGTGATTTTAACACTACATTCAAACATAGTGTTACAGTATTTATTACGTTTTACATTGTCATACATGTTTAATCATCACCTTTTGCTGCAAGGTACTTTAACTCTCTTCAGCTTACAATTCTAATCTGTCGACCTTTTATGAATATCTTAGTGTGTTAACACATTTCTACGCATTCCTTGCCTTGGGTTATTATCACATTATTGTATTGATCCACATGCAGTCACTGTTAACCTGTTCAACTTGACAAAGTTGATCTCTGGCATTGTTGCTAGCCTAGCTTGTAGACCCTGCTTCACCCTCTATAACACCCACCAGCTGAGCTGACAACCATTTGTATAACACTGTAAAGATGATGGTTTTTGTCAGTGGTTACAGAAATATATGATTACACTGGAGGAAGAGAGTGGCATAATTTAATAGACAAGAAGCCAGGTATCTTTATCCTGGGAAGGACAAGAAACTACACTCAGGTCTCATGTAATGGACAAGACACTTGCACATATCTCATGTAATGGACAAGAAACTTTCATGTTTTTAATCTGATGGACAAGAATTTTGCATGTATCTCATGTAATGGACAAGAAATGTTTATGTATATCATCTGATGGACAAGAAACTTTCATGCTTCTCATCTGATGGACAAGAAACTTTCAGGATCTCATCTGATGACAAGAAACTTTCAGGATCTCATCTGATGGACAAGAAACTTTCATGATCTCATCTGATGGTCAAGAAACTTTCATGATCTCATCTGATGGTCAAGAAACTTTCAGGATCTCATCTGATGGTCAAGAAACCTTTAGGATCTTATTTGTGGACAACGAACTTTCAGGATGTATCTGATGGACAAGAAATTTTTAGGATCTCATCTGATGGACAAGAAATTTTTAGGATCTCATCTGATGGACAAGAAACTTTCAGGATGTCATCTGAGTGACAAGAAATTTTCACAATCTCAAATGATGGACAAGAAACTCTCATCATCTCATCTGATGGACAAGAAACTTTCATCATCTCATCTGATGGACAAGAAACTTTCATCATCTCATCTGATGGACTAGAAACTTTCATCATCTCATGTGATGGACAAGAGACTTTTATCATCTCATCTGATGGACAAGAAACTTTCATCATCTCATCGGATCGACAAGACTTTTATCATCTCATCTGATGGACAAGAAACTTTCATCATCTCATGTGATGGACTAGAAACTTTTAGAATCTCATATAATATACAAGAAACTTTCAGTATCTCAACTGCTGGATGAGAAACTAAGCACATATCGCATATGATGATAAAGAAACTAAACATGTATCTAATGTCATGGACACAAAACTAGGCATATATCTCATATTATAGACAAGAAATTAATCATGTAGCTCAAGTGATGGACAAGAAACTTACATGTATCTCGTGTTATGGACAAAAAAGCTGTCATGCTTTTCATCTGATGAACAAGAAACTTTCAGGATCTCATCTGATGGACAAGAAACTTTAAGGATGTCATCTGATGGACAAGGAACTTTCAGGATCTCATCTGATGGACAAGAAACTTTCAGGATCTCATCTGATGGACAAGAAACTTTCAGGATCTCATCTTATGGACAAGAAACTTTTAGGATCTTATTTGTGGACAAGGAACTTTCAGGATCTCAAATGATGGACAAGAAACTTTCAGGATCTTATTTGTGGACAAGGAACTTTCAGGATCTCATATGATGGACAAGAAACTAATGATGTATCTCATCTGATGGACAAGAAACTTTCAGGATCTCATCTGATGGACAAGAAACTTTCAGGATCTCATCTGATGGACAAGAAACTTTTAGTTTAGGATCTTATTTGTGGACAAGGAACTTTCAGGATCTCATATGATGGACAAGAAACTTTCAGGATCTCATATGATGGACAAGAAACTTTCAGGATCTCATATGATGGACAAGAAACTAATGATGTATCTTATCTGATGGACAAGAAACAAATCGTGGGGGTGGGGGAGGGGGAGGGGGGGGGGGGAGGGGGTCAGATAGTCTGGTGTTTTTTTTCAGTGGGCCTAGAAACCCCCTCAGGATATATACGTTTTCAAAATCTGTGCACACAGTGTAATGCAATGTGTTAAAAATGATTGGGTCATCAGTTGTTGTTGTGTTTTTTTAGAAAAGGAAATACATTTATAATTTATGAAAATTTAATTTCCACACCTTGGATGTGCAGGTGACATAGTTACCACTTGATGAATGCCAAATTATTGGAGCAGTTAATTTTAAATGTCAGAAAACATAAGAAAAATTAAACTGAACTTATACAAAAACTTTATCTCAACCAACAATTACATGCGGACCTTTTCATAATCACTAAAAAAGAAAGATAACAAAAAAAATTTTTTTTTTTAAAACTAAAAGAAGTGAACCAGTTGAGCATCAAGGACCCATTTTAAGTAACCAGAAGCCATTTCAGGAATTGACCAACACACACCAGCACTCTTCGTAAACTGTAAGTATTGTGGAGTTCCAAAAACGTCTCATGCAAAACAAAAAGTACGACTGCTCCAAGCACTGGCTATCAACTGTAAAATGGATGTGCTTGAAAACTCGAGTTTTGGAGCAAGACTAGATTCCACATGTGGGCAACCAGAACTTTCCTCTGGAGTTGACATCCTGTGAAATGTGGACCTTTACATTTGTACTTGAAAGAAACATACAGTCATTGAAAATGAGATCTTTCATAATTGTTTCCTGTATATCATACAGAGACCACATCAGACATGAACAAGTTTACCGTAGCATCACTAAACACATTGGCAACTGTGAATCTCTGTTAACAACAGTGAGCAGATGGAAATCCTAAAAATGTGGACTTCTAATAGGATCTGTTGACCTCTCCGTAATAATACTACATGGTGCGGTAGAGGAGAAGACCTTGACTACGATAGATCTGGATACAAAATTTGGCTATTGGAGAGGTCTCAAATATGCAGACATCAACTTCATTGGATCTGTCAACAGATTTGAAGAGATCTGAACAACAGATGAGGAGGGATCTGACCAATGATGTGGAGAGATCTGACCAACAGATGTGGAGGGATCTGACCAACAGAAGTAGAGGGATCTGACCCACAGATTTAGTGGGATTTGACCAACAGATGTGGAGGGATCTGACCAACAGATGTGGAGGGATCTGACCAACAGATAGGGAGGGACCTGACCAACAGATGGGGAGGGATCTGACCAACAGATGTGAAGGGATCTGACCAACAGATGTGAAGGAATCTGACCAACAGATGTGGAGGGATCTGACCACCAGATGTGGAGGGATCTGACTGCCAGATGTGGAGGGATCTGACCAACAGATGTGGAGGGATCTGACCAACAGATGTGGAGGGATCTGACCAACAGATGTGGAGGGATCTGACCAACAAATGTGGAGGGATCTGACCAACAGATGTGGAGGGATCTGACCAACAGATGTGGAGGGATCTGACCAACAGATGTGGAGGGATCTGACCAACAGATGGGGAGGGATCTGACCAACAGATGTGAAGGGATCTATCTGATCAGACAGTCGGCAGCAGCTGGTGACCCAATTACATGCAGTGTAATAGGACTGTGACTGACTGAAAAAAATCAAGCTTTTTGAACTTATATGCTATCTACAAATTATTACAACAGATCACAATGAAGAAGAAGAACATTAGCATTCTACATTATCTAAATCAGTGGTTCTTAACCTTTGTAGGGCGGCGACCCTTAAATACAGTTTCTCATATTGTGGCAACCCTTTAATACAGTTCCTTATGTTGTGGCGACCCTTAAATACAGTTCCTCATGTTGTGGCGACCCCAAAACATACAACTATTTTTGTTGCTAATTCATAACTTTAGTAAATATGAGTTTTCCGTTGGTCTTTGTCAAGGATCCAGTTTCATCATTGTTTAGATCAGCAGTTCATAACCTGTGGGTTGTGACCCCTTTGTGGGTCAAATGACCCTTTGGGGTCACAACCCACAGGTTATGAACTGCTGATCTAAACAATGATGAAACGGGATCCGTGCCAGCTTCATATCTAAGACACCAAAGTAACTGTGGAAGTACTGAAAGTCTCAGTGCTTCAAGTTTAAGGTAGCTGATATTGTAAACATACATTGCTTGAGTTCCAGGTCCCCAATTTAGGAAAAAACAAAAATATCCCCAAACAAGAATATCATTAAATGCGATTAATTAACAAATTGATTAAATCAGATATGTAGGGTTCCACGGTACCACGACACAACGTATCACTCTCGCTTTTAAGGGGAATCAAACAAACTATATTTCCAAAGGATCACAAATTGGGCATGCAGACCCACCTCACATTCGGCCCTTTGAAACACTCATCTTTAGCACGGCGCTTGTACACTTATCTTTAACACATCACTTGCATACTCATCTTTAACATGTCACTTGCATACTTTATATATCAACAATTGTATATTCATATTTAAAAATATTCATAACATGAAATGTAAATTAAACATACAAAAGCATGGATGTCAGTTTCATACCCCCAATATAAATTCAACGCACAAATGCAGAAGAAGAAGAAGAAATTTGAAACAAACAAGGAAATACTAATTTCATAATCTGTCTCAACAGAATGCTGAGTATGTCCGTGACCTCCAGAGAGATGCGGCAAAGTTTCGGGAGACACTAGATAGTGGTACAGAAGACATGCAGTTTGCCTGTGAAGCATGTAATAGGATGTGGTGGAAAAGAGTGCCTAAACGAAAGCAGGTAAATCTGTAGATTTATTTCTCTTATGCTTCACATATCTTTTTTTTTTTTAAACATTTTTTGTCGCTAAAATAATTTTTACTTGTACAAAGTTTTTTCTTTATGTTCTTTACTTACCTTCTAATTTCATAAAGTGTTTTTAGTTTATTTTAGTATTTATTGTCTGATGTCATATATTTTTATCATTATAAATTGTATTTGCATTTTACATTTATTTATTTAAGTGTGTGTATGTGTGTATGTGTGTTTGTTTTGTTTTGTTTTCTGGCTTTTGAAATATGGTTTCTAGTGACTGTTTTCGGTTTCTTATTTCTAATATTGTTATTATTATTTAATTTGTTAACTCTCTCAGTCCTAAGCAATACATGGCATGTGAAGGGCTTTTCCTCGACATTCTTAACCATCAAGTATTGTGTTTTTTTCCCCGTTTTTTTTTTGGTTGCAGCTGGTCAGATCATACTCAAGAAATCTGGCTTGCCCAGTGGTTACTTCTTGTATATATTTGGACGGTATGTGAGTTTCTGAATGGAAAATATGAAGAAAGTTGTTAATTTCATCTAACTTTTATTATCTAAATTTATAATCTAATAATGTAAATTAATTAACTGTGTCTAGGTAATGGTGAACTATTTAGAAGATAGCATTGTAACTCTAAAGTCCAGTACACTGGTATTCAGGAGCAGCTGGTCAATCAGTTAAACGCTGTGCTCTCAAGCAGTAGACCAGGGTTTGAATCCTCTGTAAAGCTAGGGATTTTTTTCTGACAGGGCAACAGCAACAAAATCCTCACCTGCACAGTCGTAGCGACACACTAGCCATGCGGCCGCAGATCCCCCGGCTCAAAGACCTTGTTGCCAACATGGCAAAAGTGGTAAAATAAAGGCAGTAAGTGGCAGTTTTATACTGGTGTTCAAGTTGTTTGGTTTCTGAAACGAGCTTGCATCTATTGAATTAGCTGCCACAGAGACTTTGCTCCTGGCCCGGTATGTAAGCACCTTGGCTACAGGGTCTGAAGCACAACTGTCCTTCACCTCAACAAATTCAGAATATTGTCTGAATATGCAACACCAGCACTGGCACTTCGGGTCTTTTTGGAAAGATTTCAAGATGTAGCCAAGTCATGCATATTCAGTAAAGTACATACCAACTAGCTGCAGTTAGGCTAAGATTGGTAATGATTCCTAAATAAGTTAGGATTTTGTTGAGTGCCTAACTGAATGCCTAAATGACAACCATGTTAACATGACCTTGAAACTATTTGATGTTTAGTTATAATGATTTCTTATAAGTAATCCATTTACACTTTTTAACGTGTCTGAGTCAGGTATCAAAGTGTTACCGTTGTCGCATCAAGTATGAGCCCATTCCACCGGAGCACCAGTGGGGATGGGGGGAGTTTGAGTGTCCAGTGGGACACACCTTTAGGTACACATTTCTTTCATCTATTTAAACAGTTTTCTCTGAAACAATCTAAGGATGAAAATATGTTCTATCAAGATATAAAGTGTAAATGGATGAGAGAAAATTAAAGGAACACATTTCACTTTGTTTTTCTGCTTCTCCTCTTCCAACTCCTTGTCTTCGTCGTCCTCAACCTTCTCACATTTCTCTTGCTTCTGTGTTTTTTCTTCTGCTTCTTGCCCCCCCCCCTTTCCTCTGCTTCTGTTTATTTTGTTCCCCCCCCCCCCCTCCACACTTTCTGTTCTTCCTTATTTGTCTTCTCTTATGCCCTCCTTCCTGCTAGAGGATTGTGTTCCTTGAGCAGTGCTTCCCAAACTGTTTGGTTATTGTTTCGGCCATTTATTTTGGCCACAGTAGTACGGAAAGATGTTGCTGTTGTGCTTGTTTGTTTTCTTGCTTCCTCCACCGGTTACCTGTACATATGTCAGGAGTTCACATTGTATTCATGGTGACCATTTGTTCTGACTTTTTATGTTCCTAATCTGATTGAATAAAGACATTTATGCTTTTGCCTGGACTGCAAGAACCCTGACTATGGAGATCAGGGCATCAACAAAAGTAAAAACCTGTCTGTAGAAGCAAACCCTCTCAATCCGGACAGGTTGTCTCAGTGACTTAGTATATTGCTCTATGTGTTCTGGGGGAAGTGGGGTAGACATATTCCCTGCCCCTAACAAGTAAAAGGTGACTACTTAGGTATGTGCTGAAACCAGATGGGTTGGGCCAAAAGCTTAAGATATCAAGGCCTAGCTGCCGACTACAATGTGTCTATCACCTTTTTAATGACAAGGGCAGCAGGAATAGTGAGGTGAGACAGATCAAGATGGACTAGGTTCGAAGTTATTGGTTGGAGAGGAGGTAAAAGCTGATAAAAAATGTAATTTTCATATAAAAGCATAACAGGAATAAGAAAACATGAACAGACTGAAAGTCTTGCTGTTGTATCTGTTGCCGACAGCAGCCCAGAGTGGCCCAGGCGATTGCATGGCTCCGGTGATGACTGAGATGCTCAGGGCCTGAACCGGACCAGGGCTAATTGTGGTCAAATCTTACCTACACCTTCCTTCGCTCATCTTCGAAACAGGTTTCCTAGCAGGAGCTTGGCCGATATAGATAGGATCCATGCTTCCTCACACGTCAGAGTGCATCTGTCTGAGAGGTGAGGAACCAACAATCTGCACACAGATAAGCTAAATCTGTATATAGCTGTGCACGTAACTCTCAGGTCCTTGAAGAAGACCCAATCCAGCATTTTATCAAGATGCGGGACTTTCCGCTGGAGTTTATAACCAGTGAACATAAAGAACATAATCTGCAAGAACAGCAAGTACAGATAGTGAAGCCAGACAGCAGTATTCAAATGACCAACAATGAAATGCAGATAGTGTACAGATAGTACAGATAGTAAAGCCAGACAGCAGTATTCAAATGACCAACAATGAAATGCAGATAGTGTACAGATAGTACAGATAGTAAAGCCAGACAGCAGTATTCAAATGACCAACAATGAAATGCAGATAGTGTACAGATAGTACAGATAGTAAAGCCAGACAGCAGTATTCAAATGACCAACAAAGAAATGCAGATAGTGTACAGATAGTACAGATAGTGAAGCCAGACAGCAGTATTCAAATGACCAACAATGAAATGCAGATAGTGTACAGATAGTACAGATAGTGAAGCCAGACAGCAGTATGCAAATGAACAATGAAGAAATGCGAATCAACACAGAACTAGTATACACTGATTGATACACTGAAGAGAGAGAATCTGAGCACTTATGGACTCGATTCCTCATGGCTTCCGGGCCCCATGGTAAGTAAACAAAAAAATAATATAAACTGGCTGCCTTCCTGACAGACATGTTGTACGAGGTGACTAATTAGGGGTGTTTGGCTTGAAAACCAACAGTCTGCATACAAATAATCCAAATTCTGCAGCAGGACCAAAGTCCAGAAGTGGGCTACAACCGGAGTGTTTTGCTGGAGTTTACAGCAGGTGGAAGAACAAACTGTTCAGAGGAACTAAAGGGATTTCATTAGTTGATGGGCGATGAGGATGTTTTGTCCACTATCACATTTATTTACAGAAGGATTCAGCTTGGTTCTTTTATAATATCCTATCCCAGATGACATCACAGAACACTTGAACATTTTAGAGAGCGTCAAGTCTGAATTTCCCGGCTTTCTCATGCTTTTAACGAACCCATAACATATAGAACTGGCCATAACCCCAACCCACCTACGTCCCACAAGAGAGTGCAGCCTAGGTCCCACAAGAGAGTGCAGCCTAGGTCCCACAAGAGAGTGCAGCCTAGGTCCCACAAGAGAGTGCAGCCTAGGTCCCACAAGAGAGTGCAGCCTAGGTCCCACAAGAGAGTGCAGCCTAGGTCCCACAAGAGAGTGCAGCCTAGGTCCCACAAGAGAGTGCAGCCTAGGTCCCACAACTGTATGCAGCCTAGGTTCCGCGACTGCATACAGCCTATCTACCACCCCCTGAAATATTAGACTGTTTCCTGATCTGTGGATTTTCCCTGTTTGAGGTAAAATATTGTGAAAGCACCTTCAGCTTTTATGTATTATTAGTCTCCTATTTTCATATAGTTGTGAAGCTAATCAGTCAGCCTTTCTATCTCTGTTTCTATGTAAAATGTAATCTAATTTAATTTAATTTGTTGTCCTTCACCTCCTTCCAGGGGATTTGGTATCATGGGGCGAACAAAGAGCAAATGCTACAGATGTGACATGAAGAAAGAAGCCGAATTGATGTTCATCATTCCTCCAAAGAAAAGAGATGAAGAAGATGCACAGAGACCTCGGCGACACCGTCATAACTGCAATGGAATCAACTGCTATCAGTATGAACATTTATCCTTTTATGTCAGTGTGTGTGTGTGTGTGTATAAATTTTTTGGACCCATCAAAGATGCGAACAGTAGGCTATTGAGAGAGATTGATATTGGCCCCTTGTCGTCTTTCCAGACAATTGTGTTATATTGTACTTTTAGGAAAAATGGGACTCACAGCCCATGGCAATGGCGAGTATGACTAGCATGACCTGCCAGCGTTAAGAAAAGTCTTCCACAATTATAACTTTAGATTTCAGGACCATTGTTGCGAACATTTGTGTTTAGTCTGTTTCTTCTCAGATGTTCAGCTCTCATCCTTTCTGCAGTCACTTCTGCCTGTATTCTCATTTCCTTCCTAATGTGGCCCCTCAAAACAACACAGTGCATGGTGTTTGTTTGTCATGAGTCCATCTCAATACTTTTATCATTCATGTCCCACTTGCACACAATTTTATATCGTAACAGAGGTTGGCCTTGACATCTTGTACCCATCTTTAAAATGATAGGGAGAGAGTGAAAGGCAACAAAGAAATTATTAACCTGATTAGGTCACCACTAATTACTGGCATCTTGAGGGCTAATATGTCACAGTCGTTAGAGCATCTAGAGAATGAAAGACAACATTAAAACAAAAAACTTTGCACACAGTAGACATTGAGGCAGATTAAACAGACTGCGTACAAATAATACACAGACGGACCCACAAACACTTGTATTAATCAACAGGAAAGCGAGGATCAATGCCAGTGATGAATGGAGGCTGGTATTATCTGCAACAATGTGCTTCATTTGAGAGCTCAGATGGCTGAGGAAGAAGGAGAAGAATATGCATGTATATTTTCTGTTGCTCGAATGTAGACAGCCGTGTTATTTAAAATTTAACTCTCACAATAGTTGAACATTGATGGTCAGCACCATAACACTGGGGTACAACATAGTAACAATAGGATGACAAAACTGGGCTACAATATAGTACCAGTAGGATGACAACACTGGGCTACAACATAGTAACAATAGGATGACAACACTGGGCTACAACATAGTAACAATAGGATGACAACACTGGGCTACAATATAGTACCAGTAGGATGACAACACTGGGCTACAACATAGTACCAGTAGGATGACAACACTGGGCTACAACATAGTAACAATAGGATGACAACACTGGGCTACAACATAGTAACAATAGGATGACAACACTGGGCTACAACATAGTAACAATAAGATGACAACACTGGGCTACAACATAGTACCAGTAGGATGACAATAATGAGCTACAACATAGTAGCAATAGGATGACAACACTGGGCTACAACATAGTAACACAGTAGGATGACAACACTAGGCTACAACATAGTAACAGTAGGATTAAAACACTGGGCTACAATATAGTACCAGTAGGATTAAAACACTGGGCTACAACATAGTAACAGTAGGATTAAAACACTGGGCTACAATATAGTACCAGTAGGATTAAAACACTGGGCTACAATATAGTACCAGTAGGATGAAAACACTGGGCTACAATATAGTACCAGTAGGATTAAAACACTGGGCTACAATATAGTACCAGTAGGATGAAAACACTGGGCTACAATATAATACCAGTAGGATTAAAACACTGGGCTACAATATAGTACCAGTAGGATTAAAACACTGGGCTACAATATAGTACCAGTAGGATTAAAACACTGGGCTACAATATAGTACCAGTAGGATTAAAACACTGGGCTACAATATAGTACCAGTAGGATTAAAACACTGGGCTACAATATAATACCAGTAGGATTAAAACACTGGGCTACAATATAGTACCAGTAGGATTAAAACACTGGGCTACAACATAGTACCAGTAGGATGACAACACTGGGCTACAACATAGTAACAATATGATGACAACACTGGGCTACAACATAGTAACAATATGATGACAACACTGGGCTACAACATAGTAACAATTGGATGACAACACTGGGCTAAAAAATTAGTAACAATAGGATGACAGCACTGGGCTACAACATAGTAACAGTAGGATGACAACACTGGGCTACAACATAGTAACAGCAGGATGACAACACTGGGCTACAACATAGTAACAGTAGGATGAAAACACTGGGCTACAACATAGTATACGTAGGATGAAAACACTGGGCTACAACATAGTAACAGTAGGATGAAAACACTGGGCTACAATATAGTACAAATAGGATAACAACACTGGGCTACAACATAGTAACAGTAGGATGACAACACTGGGCTACAACATAGTAACAGTAGGATGAAAACACTGGGCTACAATATAGTACCAGTAGGATAACAACACTGGGCTACAATATAGTACCAGTAGGATGAAAACACTGGCCTAAAATATAGTACCAGTAGGATTAAAACACTGGGCTACAATATATTACCAGTAGGATGACAACACTGGGCTACAACATAGTACTAGAAGGATTAAAACACTGGGCTACAATATAGTACCAGTAGGATGACAACACTGGGCTACAACATAGTACCAGTAGGATGACAACACTGGGCTACAACATAGTACTAGAAGGATTAAAACACTGGGCTACAATATAGTACCAGTAGGATGACAACACTGGGCTACAACATAGTTACAGTAGGATGACAACACTGGGCTACAACATAGTACTAGAAGGATTAAAACACTGGGCTACAATATAGTACCAGTAGGATGACAACACTGGGCTACAACATAGTACCAGTAGGATGACAACACTGGGCTACAATATAGTACCAGTAGGATGACAACACTGGGCTACAACATAGTACTAGAAGGATTAAAACACTGGGCTACAATATAGTACCAGTAGGATGACAACACTGGGCTACAACATAGTACCAGTAGGATGTCAAAATAAGGACAAAGAACGTGATCAGCCAAAACGTTTATTCTATGTCTAGTTTTGGTTGTTCACAGACATTCTGAGGACGCCCTTCTTTAGTCTTACTTATCAGTGGTCATCCTAAGGACACACTTGTCTAGGCTTTATCCATGGACATTCTGAGTACACACTTGTCTAGTTATGTCTCTCTGTGGATATTCTGAGGACACACTTGTCTATTTATGTCCAAATCTAATGTCAAATGGTTGAGTTCTCTACAAAATAGGGCCTTATGCCTAGTTTCCGATAGAAACTGCGTCGAGAAAAATCTTTTATATGGACATCTAAGGCTTCTTCCATTTAGTAAACGTTTAATTTTTAATAAGGCCAAATTTATTCACAAAATCCTATCTAAAGATACTCCAAATTACATCGGCAGATTTATTCAATCTAATCCTAAGAATAGCAAGCGACTAGGTTTATTACATTTGCCTAAACCCAGAATTGATTTATTTAAAACAAGTCTAGCATATTCTGCTGCTCATTTATGGAACCATCTTCCACTCGATCTGAAAACTACAAAAAGTCACTACTCATTTAACCGCAAACTCTTTCATTTCGTCATTATCACCTTAAATGTAGTTAATAATCCACAATGCATTACTAGTTATAATTAATTGCAGTACGTATTATATGTTTGTGTGTACGTATCTGTGTGTGGGCGTGTGTCAGTGAGTGTGTCTGTGTGTATGGTGTCTGGGTGCTTGTCTGTAGGTGTGCCTGTGAGCCTGTCTGTTTTTGTGTCTCTGTGTTGACTCGTCCATATGCGTGTTTTTATGTGCATATGTATGTGTGTCTGTAAGCGTGTCTGTGTGTGTGTCTGTCTGCGTGTCAGTGTGCGTGTCAGTCTGTGTTGTGTGTCTGTGTGTGTTTTTTATGTCTATCTGTATGTGTGGCTGTGTGTGTGTCTGTGTGTATGATTGTATGTGGATATGTGTAGGTGTGGCTTGGCTGCATGTTTGTCCGTGTTTGTGTGTCTGTCTGTTTGTGTATATCTATGCTGTGTCTGTAGGTGTTTCTGTGTGTGTGTCTATGCCTGCGTGTGTCTGTGGCTGTGTGTTTCTCTGTGTGTTGTTTCGTGTGTATTTGTATGTTCATCTTTTAAATAATGTTTGTGTGTGTATGAGCGCCTGCATGTGTGTGTCTGTGCGAGTATTTGTGCGTCTGTGGGTTTGTTAGTATGTGTTTGTGTATGTCTCTGTGTGGCAGTGTGTGTGTGTGGGCCATTGTGTGTCTGTAGGTTTGTATGGCTGCATGTGCATCTGTGTCTGTCTGTGGCTGTGCGTGACTTTGTGTGTATCTGTGTGAGTCTCTATCGGTGTGTCTATTATATAATGTCTGCATGTCTTTGCTTGTGTCAGGTTATGCGTCTGTGTGTATGTCTGTGTGCGTATGTGTGACTGTGCGTGTCTGTGTGTGTATATCTGTGTATGTGTGGGTGTTGCGTATGTTTATGTGTGTGTCTGTTTCCCTGCTTTTGTGTGTGCCCGTGACTGCATGTGTGTATGTATGTGTGTATGTGTGTGTGTGTGTGCGTGCGTGCGTGCATGCGTGCGTACGTATGTATGTATGTATGTATGTATGTATGTGTGTATGTATGTATGTATGTAAGTATGTATGTATGTATGTATGTATGTATGTATGTGTGTGCATGTTCGTGTGTATGTGGATGTATGTATGTACTGGGTGCCTATGTGTTTGTGTGTAAGTGAGTGATTGGGCTTGTGTGTGTATGTGGGTGTGTGTGTTCGCGCGTGAGCGTGCGCACATATTTTACCACCCATGCTTTTGTTTTTGACTTCATATCCATAATATGCATATCATTACATAAATATAACATGCTTCATTGATGAAATACAACTGCTGTGTGAAAGATGGAAGTTTGGAAGAGCCGAATGTAAGACAGGCCTGCGTGCCTAGTTTGTAACCCTTCTAAAATAAAGTTTGTTCGTTCGTTCGTTCTCTGTGGACATTCTCAGGACACACTTGCCTAGTCATGTCTCTCTGTGGACATTCTCAGGACACACTTGTCTAGTCATGTCTCTCTGTGGACATTCTCAGGACACACTTGTCTAGTCATGTCTCTCTGTGGACATTCTCAGGACACACTTGTCTAGGCTTTATTAATGGATATTCACAATATGCATATTATATTAATATAACTTGCTTTGTTGAAAATACAACTGCTGTGTAAAAGATGGGTGCTTGAAAAGGCTGAATGAAAATAAAGTTCGTTCATTCATTTTTCGTGCACTTTCTGAGGACACACTAGTCTAGTCTTGTATCTCCATGGACTTTCTAATGACACTCTTGTCTAGTCTTGTCTCTCCATGGACATTCTGAGGACATTAGTTTAATCTTGTCTCTGCTTGGACAGACTTGTCTAGGCTTTATCCATGGACATTCTGAGACCCACATGTCTAGTCTTGTGGACTAGATTCTGAGTACACTAGTCTAGTCTGGTCTCTCCATGGACATTCTGAGGATACACTTGTCTAGTTTTGTCTAACCATTGACATTTCAAGGACACATTTGTCTAGTCCTGTCTATCCATGGACATTCTGAGAAATACATTTGTCTAGTTTTGTCTATCCATTGACATTTCAATGACACACTCGTCTAGTCTTGTCTATCCATGGAAATTCTAAGAACATATTTGTCTAAGCTTTATCCATGGACATTTTGAGGACACACTTGTCTAGTCTTGTCTATCCATGAACATTCTGATGACACACTTGTCTAGTATTGTCTATCCATGAACATTCTGATGACACACTTGTCTAGTATTGTCTATCCATGGACATTCTGAGGATACAATTGTCTAGCCTAGCCGTCTATAGACATCCTAATAACACACTTTTCCAGTCTTGTCTATCCATGGACATTTTGAAAACATACATGTCTAGTTGTGCCTTGCCATGAACATTATGAGGACACACTTGTCTAGTCTTGTATATCCATAAACATTCTGAGGATACGCCCGTCTAGTCTAGTTTTTCTATGGACACAGTTGTTTATTCATGGATATTCTGAAAACACATGTGTCATTCTGAAGACACATATTGGTCCATACATGTTATTTTTTAAGCCACCTTGTCTATCTATGAACATGGTAAAGACACATTCATCAGGTCATTTCTGCCCGTGAACATTCTTAAGACACATTTTGTTTGTTCATGTACATTCTGAAAACACATGTAACTGGTCTTGGCTGTCTCTTGATATTCTGTAGATACACTTGCCTAGTCTTATATATTTATCGTAATGACACTTGTCTAGTCTTATATATTTATCGTAATGACACTTGTCTAGTCTTATATATTTATCGTAATGACACTTGTCTAGTCTTATATATTTATCGTAATGACACTTGTCTAGTCTTATATATTTATCGTAATGACACTTGTCTAGTCTTATATATTTATCGTAATGACACTTGTCTAGTCTTATATATTTATCATAATGACACTTGTCTAGTCTTATATATTTATCTTAATGACACTTGTCTAGTCTTATATATTTATCTTAATGACACTTGTCTAGTCTTATATATTTATCTTAATGACACTTGTCTAGTCTTATATATTTATCGTAATGACACTTGTCTAGTCTTATATATTTATCGTAATGACACTTGTCTAGTCTTATATATTTATCGTAATGACACTTGTCTAGTCTTATATATTTATCTTAATGACACTTGTCTAGTCTTATATATTTATCGTAATGACACTTGTCTAGTCTTATATATTTATCTTAATGAAACTTGTCTAGTCTTATATATTTATCGTAATGACACTTGTCTAGTCTTATATATTTATCGTAATGACACTTGTCTAGTCTTATATATTTATCGTAATGACACTTGTCTAGTCTTATATATTTATCTTAATGACACTTGTCTAGTTGTCTATGGATATTCTTAGATACATTTGTCTTGCCTGTCCATGGACATTCTGAAGACGCACTTGTCTATTCATGGACATTCTGATTTATCTTAGCATGGACACTCTGAAGACATACGTGCCTAGTCTTGATCTGGTGTCTAGAATATCTCTTTTTATTTTTGTTCCACTTGTTGATTCAGGCGGCATCTAAAACATTTGATTGTTTTAGTTCTAACTGTCGCCATGCCATTGCAACTGTATATATATATATATATTTCAGCTTTACTGTTTTGTTATCAGTGCTGTTGTTTTTAGTTTTGTTTTAGTCAGCATTAAAAATATGTGGTTAAGCATCAGTGAGGAAAACAAAATTAAAATTTTGAGTGCTTGCATCTTCCCTGAAATAACATACAAATGTGAGTCAAGAATAAAAATGGGGGCATTTGAGCTGAAAAGCTATAGAAAGATTCTTAGAATATCATGGACAAAGTAGAGAAGAAGTATTGAGATTTTAAAAGATCTGAACATCAAGGAAAATTGGTAAATAAACAGCATCTTGTTTTGGAAGCTGAAATATTTTGGTCATATCAAGCGTCAAATTGGGAAAATAAAATAGCAGAAGGTTTAGTAACAAGAAGGAGAGCAGGGGCCGTCCAACACGAAGAATTGCGCAAGATATTGACTCCTTGAATGTGAAAGTACAGCAGGCGGGAGAGCTGACGAAAGAGCAAGTTTCATTCAGGTAAAACATAATAAGAGCGACATTCTGCAAAGGACCTGCTACACGAGGATGCGTTTTTATGTAGATACTATTTCAATTACGGTAGCACTCTTGTGTTTGCTTCCACTGGTATATTTCTAGTGTATGTATTTTGTCTTAGACTACTCAAATTAACAAATATATTTTTCAGCCCTACTGGTGACTATAAGTTGGGAGACAACGGTATGTGCTTTTATCAACTTATTAAATGTAATCTAGTTATTATCAGACACTGCCATATTGAGTTAGTCGACAGATTATCCACATTATATATGGAACTATTCAGTCCATAAGTGCAAGATTCCCTCAGTAAATCCCACAGGGTGTAACTGCTGATGATAAGATAACAGTTCTTGTTGGTTTCCTATTCTTCTTTGGCTTCCTGCTTCGCATGTTCTAGTTCATTCTACCCTTGCAATTACTTCAATGTCATAGGTGGAATCCAGTTCAGTACCTGTGGCCTCTGTCCTCAGTGTTTGTTTTAGGATTATTTTTGGACTTCTATTTTCCTCAGTCCCTTTATTTTCCTTGTTAGTCTCCGTTTGGTGATTCTCTGCTCAGTTCTTCTCATGATATCAAACATAGAGCTATCTTCTCTGTCTTGCAACTGTTGTTAACAGTGGTTGTCCAGATATTTCTCTTATTTCTTCACCCTTTTGAATTCATCTCATTTTATGTTCAACATTTTCTTCAGGCGTATGCTTTCCAATCCATTCAACTTTCATTCCATCTCTTTGATGGTTTTCCAATGTTCACTAACATGAGTTGTGTTGAGTGGAGTCAAGAATTGACATCATAGCATTCAGGGCATTCCCATGCATGCTCTATCCTCATCTTCAGCAGCCAGCGCAGAGTTTACTGATGTATGTTGAAACTGTAATAATGTTATAATTAAAAATATGTGCCTTGGTTTCAAAACTATACAATTTAGAATTCTACATTTTCTTTAGCTTTTATAACGATACAATTTAGAATTCTGCTTTTTTTTGTTCAGGTTTCAAAACTATACAATTTAGAATTCTACTTTTTGTTCAGGTTTCAAAACTATACAATTTAGAATTCTACATTTTGTTCAGATTATAAAGCCATACATTTTAGAATTCTACTTTTTATTCAGCTTTTAACAGCTGCTGATGCATCGCCAATATTTGTCCTAATTGCTTTATTATTATTATTTTCCGCTCACAGTGCTATTATATTATTTAAGTTTGACCCAAATTGGTAAAAGTAAAAACTGTCTGATTAAACTGAGGTAATTAGTATCTATCTAGAACTAAAGAGTTATTTGACTACAAAGTGTCATTGTCTGGTCCCTGTACAGAATAGAATGCTCATGCAATATTACAGCATCATTAATGCTGAGTTTCATGAGAAAACTAAACAAATTCTGGCAAATTAGGAGCTTTGAAGACATGGAACAAAAGTTAAAACTTGTTAATACTATAAATATCTGGAATCAATTTCTTTCTTCCCACACTGCGTCTGGTACTTTGGGCCGAAGGGCGTATTGAGAATACTATCTCTATCCTAGAAGAGTAACTTGGTGTTTTGACAGGGCAGACTAGGCACTTATCTTTCGTGGGCAGCTGGTCTAGGAGGGAAGCTGCCTGGCTCACTAGTGTAGTTGGTTAAAGCTGACTTCGCGGTGGCCGGGTGACAAACTCCTTGTGGTCCGGGTTCACTCCCGGGAGTAGGCAGAAAAGCCACATTCCTCTTAGATTTACGGTATCTATCATGGAATCACAGTCCTTAAGAAAGAGAATAGAGTCTTTTGAGCTGAAATGCTATAGAAAGATTCTCAGAATATCTTGGACAAAGAAGATGATAAATATTGACATCTTAAAAGATCTGAACATCAAGGAAGATTGGCTAATAAACAGCATCCTTTCTCGAAAGCTGAAATATTTTGCTTATATCAACCGCCACGACAGATTGGAAAAAATTATAGTAGAAGGCATCGTACCAGGAAGGAGAGGCAGGGGCCGACCGACACGAAGATGGGTACAGGATATAAGTGACTCCTTGAGTGTGAAAGTTCATGAGGCGGGAGAACTGGCAAGAGATTGAGTTTCTTACAGGCAGACTGTGATGAGAGCGACGTTCTGCAAAGGACCTGCTACATGATGATGATCATGGAATCAAGGCTTAAAGGTTGCGATATCCATAGTACCGAGCCAAAGGGTTTACAACTCATGTTTTCTGGATACTTTAAATTTAAAAAAAGGAGGAAAGCTCTGACAGACGTAAGATCAAACAGCTTGGTATTACTGTTAGGAGCCTATGCTGTAGTGAAGTAATACAAGGCACTAGTGAAACCATTTTGAAAGATTTAAACATTGTCACAGGCACTTGGGAGAGATCAGCTGCAGACCGACTTTTTTGGAGACAATTAAAGACGGACTGTCACAGTTTGATAGAGGCCAAACACAGCAACCTATAGAGAGTAAACTTCGGAGAGAAAATGAGCCTCAGAACAATAGAGTATCAACAATTGTGTGTGGACTACATGACAGAGATTGCCACTCCCACATTGGACTCTACAGTCATAATAGACGCTGTCCCCAAAACCAGTGGTACATTTCCAAGACTGTTAGGGACTGACAGTTGCTTACTACTGCAGAGAAACAGTTATATAATTTTAATATATGTTGTATAGTAGCTTCTTTGCTTATTCTGCATTTCCTTTTTAAAATCCTGATTGTATTCTAATTTTTATTTTTTAATTTGTATTGCAACCAGAAAAACCTCCAGTGTGTATTCACCCACGATCACATGCCACTAACGAGCCAGTAAGAATCCACTGCGCCAGCAATGTTCACATCAGCACTGGTTCTACGTTTGTCACCATACTTGACCAGGGAAGTCTGGACACGAATGAACGTAAACCAGCCGATTCACTGAAAACAATATCAGAGCATAGTGATGAGGAAGCTGACAACGTGTAATTTTTGTCTAAAACATTTGAGAAAAAAAAGCTCATAACTGATAAGATTTTATTATTATTTAAAAAAAAAAAAAAGATTAAAGATAGAGATATCTGACAAGATGTTTTTGTCATCTAAACCATTAGAGGGAAAGTGATAAGTAATAAGAAAAAATATGTTTTTGTCAACTGAACCATTAGAGGAAAGGTGATAAGTAATAAAAAACTATGTTTTTGTCATCTAAACCATTAGAGGGAAAATGATAAGTAATAAAAAACTATGTTTTTGTCATCTAAACCATTAGAGGAAAAGTGATAAGTAATAAGAAACTATGTTTTTGTCATCTAAACCATTAGAGGAAAGGTGATAAGTAATGAGAAACTATGTTTTTGTCATCTAAACCATTAGAGGAAAGGTGATAAGTAATGAGAAACGATGCTTTTGTCATCTAAACCATTAGAGGAAAGGTGATAAGTAATGAGAAATGATTATTTTGTCATCTAAACCATTAGAGGAAAGGTGATAAGTAATGAGAAACTATGTTTTTGTCATCTAAACCATTAGAGGAAAAGTGATAAGTAATGAGAAACTATGTTTTTGTCATCTAAACCATTAGAGGAAAGGTGATAAGTAATGAGAAACTATGTTTTTGTCATCTAAACCATTAGAGGAAAGGTGATAAATAATGAGAAACTATGTTTTTTTCATTTAAACCATTAGAGGAAAGGTGAAAAGTAATGAGAAACTGTTTTTGTCATTTAAACCATTAGAGGAAAGGTGATAAGTAATCAGACACGATGTTTTTGTCATCTAAACCATTAGAGGAAAGGTGATAAGTAATGAGAAACTATGTTTTTGTCATCTAAACCATTAGAGGAAAGGTGATAAATAATGAGAAACTATGTTTTTGTCATCTAAACCATTAGAGGAAAGGTGAAAAGTAATGAGAAACTGTTTTTGTCATTTAAACCATTAGAGGAAATGTAATAAGTAATCAGACACGATGTTTTTGTCATCTAAACCATGAGAGGAAAAGTGATAAGTAATCAGTCACAATGTAATTGTTATCTAAAAAAAAAAATAAGAGAATGGATGAGGAAGCCAACAACATGCAAATAAAAAGGTGTAGGGTTAAAGAAATGAGATAGGAAAACTACTACTGAATGGACAGAAATAATGACAGTAAATAGAACACCAGTTCACTTTTGAATGAGGGACATTAAAACAAGCTAAGATGTTTGAGTAACTAGTCAGTGTATTTACTCAGGATGGGAATTGGACAGAGAAAAAGAATGGGTAGGTAAGTTGTACCCCACCAGGACATCACACAAGCAATAAACACCTGGTGACACAAAGTGCTACCATGCCGATGAGGATCACCCGTGAAGAGGTCCCTGAAACTCAGTTCAGCTGTTTGGCCATATTTAGGGCCTCAGACAAAAGCCAGGGTGGGGGCTTCAAAAAAACTAAAAATTTCATCCACATGGGAACAACAGATACATAGAAATAAAATACACAGAAACAGGAACATAAATAATCAAATAATGCCAAGAAAGGTGATAAATGTGCAATTTGCCTAAACATTTTGCTATTGGTGCTGGTATAAGCAATGTGATGGGCAGACCAAGAGACATAGTCACCAACTATAAACTAAGAACAATGATAGGCACATTCAATGTATTTTATTTCATCAAACATCAGTGAATCAAATGGTTTGGTCACCTGGTCAGACTAGAACAAAATCAGATAGCAGATAGAGTGTACTACATGAAGACTCTACGCTTCAAGACAAGAGGCTGACCACGAAAGAGATGGGTGGAGAGAGTAAAACATTACTAAAAACGAAAGGAAATCTTGTTCGCATTCATCAGCTGTAAACTCGGGCTGAAAGTTCAGTTTGTTTCTTTCATCTCTGGACAGGGGGTCTTCCTCCAGGAGCTGAGTGTTGTGTGTACATCAGTTTTACAGATCTTACATATCTATATGTAGACTGTTGGTTTTTTGCCTTTCAGGCAGATGCACTTCGAAGGAAGCCCCTAATCTGTCGACTCTTACGACATGCTTTTTGAGGAGAGGAGATAGTGGGTCTATTCTTGTTTTTCCTACAATAGGGCCCCAGAACTCACACGGGGAAAACAGAAAATGACATCTAATTTCCTCCCTGTGACGTTTTACAACATATGCAGTAGGACAACAGGAAAAAAGAAGACGGAGAACAACATGTGCATGTAAAGAACATAATTCTTTAGACAAGTGGTGAGAACACCAAACAGAGATAAAGAACCTAATTATATAGACAAGTGGTGAGAACACCAAACAGAGATAAAGAACCTAATTCTTTAGACAAGTGGTGAGAACACCAAACAGAGATAAAGAACCTAATTCTTTAGACAAGTGGTGAGAACACCAAACAGAGATAAAGAACATAATTCTTTAGACAAGTGGTGAGAACACCAAACAGAGATAAAGAACCTAATTCTTTAGACAAGTGGTGAGAACACCAAACAGAGATAAAGAACCTAATTATATAGACAAGTGGTGAGAACACCAAACAGAGATAAAGAACCTAATTATATAGACAAGTGGTGAGAACACCAAACAGAGATAAAGAACCTAATTATATAGACAAGTGGCGAGAACACCATAGAGATAAAGAACCTAATTCTATAGACAGGTGATGAGAACTTCATGCACAGATAAAGAATCTAATTCGGTAGAAAATTAACGAGAACAACATGCAGAGATAAAGAACACTATTTTACAGATAAAAGATAACACCATGAATAGGTAAAGACAAGAGAAGCATTCTTACTGTATGACCAAACCATTTTCTCTTCTGTTTCTAAATAAATTTGATGCATGGAGTATGTTGTGATAATGGGAAAGTTGGAGTTGAAGAAAGGCCAAGAGAGAAGCAGCTGGACAGTTTGGCCTCGTGGCATTTTAATATATCTGAATCAGTAATGATTTCCAGACTGAGGGTTGTGGGCAGATATGATTATTAATGCCACAAGCATAGACTATGAGAAAATTTGTGACCGAAAGTATTTTATTTTCTAACTACATATATGTACAAGTTTAATAACTTCATCAAGTACCCCACCATATTGCAGTAATATATATATATATATATTTTACACATCTCACTTCTTATTTCCTCGTTTTTCGAGTTCCAATCTAAAAAAAAAAAACTCTACCACGTTCAACCTGTTGTTGGCAGCGAGTTGCCACCGGTTATATTTGTGGTCTTGTTTATTGGCGTCACTTGCGTGGCTAAGGTTGTGGCAAGTGCACCAACACTCTGACTTTATGTTTCTCTCCTAGTAGACCACCCCTCCCTGTCTGTGTCCCAATGAGTTTCCCCTTGCCCTTATCTTCTTAAAGCTTTTCCTCATGGGTCATCCTCCGTCCGGTTCATTGTCCTGATTATTTGTGTCCTGCAGTCTGTTTCCGAATCAGTTCATATTTAGTTTGGCCAGGAGTTTCTCGTTTCTCGTGAGAGACCGAGCTAGGTCGCAACTCTGTTCTGTTGACGATCTTTCTTTATACCACCATCCTAGACCAGTGTTGCTCAACCTGTTTTACACCCGTGGCCCACAAAAACTGAGGTTATGATTTCGCACCCACCTGACAACAAACCAAACATAGAAACAAAAACAAATGTAGATAGCAGTTATGTTGTTAAATTCAATCCCACTTAACTACAACTTTCATTCAGTGCTGCATCTGCTGCTGCCCATATGTTAGAACATCTTTAACCTGGTTTATGGGAGCTAAAGTACAACAGTCAAGGACATTTTTCTACACCTTCAGGTGTATTGGGCATTAGAGATAAACCTATTTTCTAGACCAATCAGCACTGGGTGAGTGATGCGGTCAGCATTACGCCGGCCATCTTTACTTCCCAAGACTACCAGGTACCCACTCAAAGCTGGGTCGATCACCAAGGTCGGTTTTTAGGTCCAGTTCAGTTAGGATCCAAACCCACAATCTTTCGATCTGTCTAGCCTCTACACCATGGCAGCTGTCCTTCTGGCAGCTACTTGTTTTATTTTCATCCTTGATGTATTAATCCTGCAGTCTGGAAGAGGAAGAACTACCTACCCTATCCCGTTAAATGATTAGGCACTCAGAAATTGGCGGCCCACCCTCTACTTTTATGTGGCCCACTGGTTGAAGAACGCTGTCTTAGATCACCTAATATTATTTATTTCTGTCTGCCTCTGCTGCTTGTGACATGATCTTTCAAGATGTCCCAGTTGTTCCCTAATGCCTCTTTTCTCTTGCACATTTTGTTTTAGTTTCATTGACTTCTTTGTCCATATACCTGTCAGGCTAATTTATTTTCTACATTATTATTTAAAAATTTATTAATTGTTTTGTAGCATTCCATTTTGTGGTGGTGTATATGAATGGTTTTTATATGATGCTTAAAATAATCTTATTTCAAAAAAATTACAAATCAAAAATTAACAAACGGATGAAGTTTACAGTCAATAATTAAATCGGAAACTGCATCTCTAAAGAAATGAAAGAAAATTGTATATAATATGTATCTTGTCACATCTGAAATTGATGCTCAAAAGCCAAGTTCAGTTATTATATTCGCCTGTCAGAGCAAAATTTAAAATTTGTGCTGTTTACATGACATGATAAATGTCATGTTCAAACACAAAAACTCAAAATATAAGAATAACATTTTTTATGACATATTCAAAAGTTATATTCAGATATAGTTCTTTTTTTATTGATAACAGTATATTTTGTTAAGCCTTGATGATGTAGTCACTGTTTAAGTAGCTAATACATATTAAATGCTCATAAACATCTAGACTAGTATTTATCTAAAATACTGTCACATACATTAGACCTGTGTAATTAACTACTATCATTTTTTGACCCACTTAGTTACTCTCTATTTTAAACATGTGTTGTTAAATGCTATAAATTTTGGATTTATATAGTTAAATACTCTATTTTAAAATGTTAGATATTCACTGACACTTGCTTGGTTTTTATGT